TAGGGGCAGCAGGATCATGTCCTCAGTTCTCCTTGGCTCAGGAGTGCCCCTCAGTAGTAAAAGAATAGCTGCCTGGGAATCTCTCCAAAAGTACAATGTACCTTTTAAATAGCTGATCATTCCAATCATTCTATAGACCTCAATGGGGAGAGGGAACAAATATCCTGCATTAAAGTCATGACTAAAAGTTGACAGTTCATCAGCATCCTGCATCTGGTTATTCCTTTCCATTCCGCATGGGCTACGTCTAGACTGGCATGATTTTCCGTTAAAAGCATTTTTGGAAAAGAGCATCTAGATTGGCACGGACGCTTTTCCGCAAAAGCACTTTTTGCGGAAAAGCGTCCGTGGCCAATCTAGACGTGGTTTTGCGCAAAAAAAGCCCCGATCGCCATTTTCGCAATCGGGGCTTTTTTGCACAAAACAAATCTCAGCTGTCTACACTGGCCCTTTTGCGCAAAAGCTTTGCACAAAAGGGACTTTTGCCCAAACGGGAGCAGCATAGTATTTCCGCAAAAAGCACTGATTTCTTACAGTAGGAAGTCAGTGCTTTTGCAGAAATTCAAGTGGCCAGTGTAGACAGCTGGCAAGTTTTTCTGGAAAAGCGGCTGATTTTCCGGAAAAACTGGCCAGTCTAGACACAGCCATGGTGTCTCCCTGACCCTAGTTATCATCGTCAGACACATTAGTGGGGCTTTATTCATTACAGTTGTGTGTGTTAATAAGCATTTCTGGGAGTAAATACATTCACACTAACTGACTATCCATTGACAAGGTGAATATCATGCCCTCTCTTAAGGGGTTATTGTGGGAGAGCCACAGTTGTTCTTTTGGGGACAGCATCAGGATGCATGAGTTCCCCAGTAGTGCGTATGTGGCAGGAGGGCTGATCTGGTGCTGTTACAGAGACCGCATATTTCTGCAGCACAGGAAGCAAGATGGGGGATGAGGAATCTTGCACAAAGGAAACAATGCTCAGCTGTACAATTAGGCTCTTTATTTCTAACCCCCCTCCTCACTCTACTTTAGTGAAGGATTAAAAAAATAAAGAATTAGAGTGAACTTAAGTTTGATTTGTAAAAAGAGGCCGACTAGGAGGCAGAAGTCTGGCCTTGAAAATGAATTCTCAGGCAAAAGGGGAATGCAGTAGGGAGGATGTCCAGTTTAAAGAATAATAAAATAAGGGGAAGCTTCTAAGAAGGTCCCTGAGTGAGAGGGGTGACTGCAGATGGTTTTCAGTAAGAATTTCTCTTAAAAGGAGCCAGCATAGACCTTCCTACCCCACATACCTGTATTATCTCCATTTTATTTTACCTAATGTGCAATGAAAA